CATAAAATAATATGCCAATAATCCAAAGGTTCCAATATCACTGTAACCCACACATGAGCCAAAGCTTAATGCTGGGACAAGACTGGTTTAATGGGAAAACAGGCATCAAATGTAACCACCACATAACTCCTCCTCTGAGCCAGCGAGATAATTGAGTTTTGAGAACATACTAAACTCAATTATCTTCTTGTCAGAAAAAGATTTTCAGAAATACCCCAAAACGACATAAAAACCCCACAAAAGTCACATCTCTTGGTAGGTTGTCTTTGTGGGAGCAACAAATTTCAGCCTACCATCAATTTGGTAGTTCCCGAACGGCACTGTGGAGAGAGTTGACTGCTCTGCCACGAGGTTGAATCCGAGAAACAGTTCCAGAGGATTTGTAGCCAGAGCCTGTCTCCGTTCATGGAGATTCATACGAAAACCGCACTACGTAGAATAAAGATGGTTCATGCAGAATGCTCCTTGCGTTTGTCTGTTTCAAACTCCTGAACGCTGTTCGTCTAAAGTGCTGGGAAATAGAACGTAGCGGAGTTCCATAGAGACCGGGGTTCATGAAAGTGCGTTGCCGAAAACAGTTCCAGGCACTCAACGACCAAGTCCGATTGTTCTCACCACGTGTATTCGTATGCACAAAATGGTGGCCACCTAGGAGCATTCAATTAGTCTGCAGTTTTCATATTGATACATAGTGTTCCACGTTCTAATTAGTCCCAGGGTGGTCTCCTTTCGGTGAAACGAACAAGTTAACGAATGGCCATAAGAAAGAAACAAATAACTGAGGGAAGTTAATAGCAGGGAGTGCAAATAGCCGAACGGTGATGGCAATTAGACATACAGTGAAGGGGTATTCCTTCACATAATCAAAGACTGTTCCCCCCAGCAACTAGACGACACGTAGTTCTGGGAGTGAACTGAACTTTATTTGGCCATGTTACGGAATGCCGTCACTGGGTACCATTCCCACATGTGCCCACTGGCTTGCCTGCTTATTGTTTTCAGGTCATCATGCTGGGGATCTTCCTATCTGTGTGGTCCCCTTGTTCCACACATCATGTTTAGGCTTGATTGGAAGATTGTGCTTGTCCCATTCTAAATATGATAAAAATTAGGCTTAAGTATTAATATCTGGGTAGGTATTTGTGGTGGACACCCCGATGGGAAGAGGGGTTTCGCCGCCAAAAAGGTTATTTTCCCCCAGTGTGAGTAGTGCTGCAATAATCCTAAAATGTAGTGAAATAGCTGTTATCGCTGTTCCCTACAGACACAAGACAAGGCTCTGTGTTGAGGGTAAAACTGGAACTGCTTTAATGGGAGCCACAGCTGGCCTATTATGCAAGTTCCCATGCAAGGGGTTTCTGGTGACACATTCCAGGGGCATTCCCCACTGGACCTGAGAGGGGACAGCAACATAAGCACACACACAATTACGTTACCTCTCAGGTCCAGGACAATCATAATAAAAATACATAAAAATATATATTTA